TTATTCTGGATAAGGCTATTCTTGTTCTGGATAGCATTAATCTTATCCAGGTTTGGTAGGTTATTGCCTATAAATAGAGTGTTTCAGATAGAGAAAAATGTATTCAAAAGAACCAAGAGATTTCTCTTTGTAATATATAGATTCAAAATCATATGAGAGTCGATTAGGGTTTCTTGAGAGTCTGTAATCTTTACTTTCAATAAATAGAAAAGCAGCCGCTATTTCTCTGTTTAATCTTCTTGTTTACTTTCTCTTACAAACTTCTAGTGTAAATCGTTCTACTGTCAGATCTGGGAAATAACACGGCCCCTTAGATTAGAGTAATAGTAGAACACCAGTTCTTGATGAAGCTTGTTAGTTTGCTGAATGGCAGAATTCTTCTCTTCAGTCAGCTTAGAAATAAGGGCCCTCACCTGAATACAAAATGAGGCGGATATAAAGAAGCGATGATAAAGTATGTGGAGAAGATCAAAGCTTATAAACCTTGAATTCTCTCGAGATTACAAAAAACACAACGTTAAAGTTGAATTTACAATATGAAAACTAAATATAATTAGAAGATGTGTATTTTGACGGTTGGATCGGTCCACATAGCTCAAAAAAACCGTTCAACCCACATTACCCAACCGAACTCAGCTTTTTGGCTATTTTCAAAGTGAACCAGACCGTTAGACCATTCAAATTGTTAAAAGCGGTTGTTTTAAATGATCCAACAGTTTTTTTAAAACAACCATAATTTTATTTAATATTATGAATATTTGATTTTAAGGTAAATAAAATCTAAAATATCTTATTTAAAATAAGACTAGTTTTGTATCCGCGCAATGTGGTGAGAGCCGTGAATTTTAATGATTTTGAAGTTTCACTGGTTTTATTAGAGAAGATTCAACGATGATATAAGTTACACTTGTTCTTTACATATTAATACAATTTGAATATATAAGAGTTATGGTTTCAATTACAGTCTATCGATAAAAAAAATTGTATGACGGTTTAAAATCCAACATATTTAAACGACTCCACATATGTGTTCGATTTAGACCAAGAGCAAAGAATCAAGAGATCGAGAGCGAGACCGAGAGTTCTAGAGCAATTAAATGAGAGATGAATTGAAAAACTTTTAATAACTTATGATAAACATCAGTTTGAATTTCACTTTGGGGGATGGTGAGAATACATAGAGGTATGAGAGAGTGAAGACATGAGTGAAATGAGTCAAAAGTATCTTAGGAACATGAGAAGAAAAAGTAATAATCTGCATTGGTAACTTGTATTATATGTTATTTTAATTGTAGATTAAGATATTTTAAGACTGAATGCATAAAGTAGTAGTACCTAATGCATTATGAGTTGTTTTTAAGATTTTTAAGACATTGTGCATAAATGTATAATACTTTATGTATTAAAAATTATTTGATAAATCTGGTTTATAAGGTACTGTCGATAATAAATTCCATAAATATAAAATCAAAATTTTAAAAGTTTTCATAGTTTAAACTAGAAAACACACAGGATGCTGACGATTCTCGTTTCCCTCTCCTCCCGTTTCCCTCGCCCCCTCGTTTCTAAGATCCGACCACTAATCAACCTCCAAACTTACTCAACCCATTCTACAAATCCGACTAAATCCTTATCACCCATCTCGTTTTCCGATCATCAAACCCCCAAAAGACCATACCCAGATCACTATCTTTCAGTACGTGAAGAACCCATGGTCGACCAACCAACGATTCTCGAAACTCTAACATGTTATGCCAACGATTGGAAACGCGCAATGGACTTCTTCAACTGGGTTGAAGCTGAATGTGGGTTCAAACACACCACTGAGACATATAATCACATGATTGATATATTGGGTAAGTTTTTCGAATTCGATCGTGCCTGGCAACTGCTCGATAAAATGCCTGAGAGGGACCATACTACGTTTCGTGTAATGTTTAAGCGTTATGCTGCCGCACACCTTGTTCAAGAAGCGATCAGTACTTTTGATAAGTTGGGAGAGTTTAACTTGAAAGATGAGACGTCTTTCTTGAATCTCGTGGATGCATTGTGTGAATTTAAGCATGTGATTGAAGCTGAAGAGTTATGTTTAAAAAAAGACAAGAACTTTAATGAAAAGATTGCGGGTTTTGTGATGGGTACTAAAGTATATAATATGATTCTTCGTGGGTGGTTGAAAATGGGATGGTGGTCAAAGTGTAGAGAATTTTGGGAGCAGATGGATAAAGATGGGATTATTAAAGATTTGTATTCATATTCGATATATATGGACATTCAATGCAAGAGTGGGAAGCCATGGAAGGCTGTGAAGCTGTATAAAGAGATGAAGAAGAAAGGAATTAAATTGGATGTGGTAGCATACAACACCGTTATCCGTGCCATCGGTGTTTTGGAGGGTGTTGATGTGGCTGTCCATCTTGGTCGTGAAATGCTGGAATTGGGTTGTGAACCAAATGTTGTAACTTACAATACAATCATTAAGCTTTTGTGTGAAAATGGGAGGGTCCTGGAGGCATATAAAGTGCTTGATAAAATGTTTAGGAGAGGGTGTGCTCCCAATGCCATCACTTATCATTGCATTTTCCGGTACCTAGAGAAGCCTAATGAGATTCTTGCACTGCTTGATAGGATGATTGAAAGTGGTGTACGGCCAACAATGGACACATATGTGTTGCTTATAAGGAAATTTGGGAGATGGAGTTTTCTTCGACCGATTTTTATAGTTTGGAAGAAGATGGAAGATGATGGCTTGAGTCCAAATGAGTTTGCTTATAATGGTTTGATTGATGCTTTGGTGGAAAAAGGTATGATTGATATGGCAAGGAAGTATGACGAAGAGATGTTGGCGAAAGGGCTCTCAGCCAAGTTGAGACCAGAGCTAGTAAGGGGAGAATGTGATGATGGATGATGGACCTATGTAATTTTATTGGGCACATCTCAATGTATGAAGAGATATGTTGGTTGGCTGGTGTGAAACAAATCAAGACATAATGAGGCTTCATTTATACTTGGTGAGAAGAATCAATATGAAACTCATAAAACAGAATAGATGATGCGAATAAATAGAATATAGCCTAGGTTGCCGAGTCTGAATGGGCTAACTTACCATGGGAGTTTAGAAGGCGAGAGGGTGATGTTAGGGAGACAAAGAAGCAAATATGACACTTATGGCTTATTCGAGGTGCAGTTAATTATTACTCCCTTCGTTTTATCATTATTTTGTTGTCTCTTCCTCTTGTTTTGCACTGTTTGATTGTTTCTTGTTACCTGATAAGTTATAAATATGTAGGATATCTTAATGCAAGTATTTCTTGAAGAATGAAGAGTTCCTATGATCCATCTTAACATAACTTAATGCACTTCAAATAAGAAAAATTATTCTGTTCCCCACTGCAATTAAACGAATTTTATGCTTGTCGTTGAGTTCTCATTTTCTTTCATTTATATTGAATTATTTTCACTGTTTCCAAGTTTTGATCCTTCCACTTACTTTATCATCGCTTCTTTATCTCCACCTTTTTGTGTCCAGGCGATATCCTTTATCTTTAAGTTGTTTGGAGAGAAGGGTTATGCCTTTCTGCAAAAGAACAAGCTTCACCCAAAACTGGTACATATCTTTATCTATGTTACTGATTTTTTTAATTATTGTTTGTGATACTGAATCTTTGGTATCATCTGTACTTCTATTATAAAGCACGAGCTTGTTACAAGTCAATGTAGCATATTGCATATATGTATGACTTCCTAAAGCCAAAATGTCTAAATGTTAAAAGGTACATCCTTTTAAACAATAAACATTAGGTACAACTAAATAATGCTTTGTGTGACTAGTTTAACAAATAAATGAGTGCAGCCATTAGAAAATCATATTGAATACCATTTTGCAAAATCTCTCTGGTCTCTCTTCCAAGTAAGTTATGCCTTTTTGTCTTGCAAGATCCTTTGTAAGATGTTCGTTAGAGTTGGCTAAGAAGAGATCTCGGTACAAGCTTTTTAAAGAGGATCTTTTGAAGAATCCAGTAAGGGTCTGAATATGTTTATTAGGTTTCACACTGTCTTAATTTCTCTCCCTCCCACTTCATCATTCTCTCTGGGTCCAACATCTCCGTTCAGGTCTCTTTTAATCACACACAGACATATAGATTTCTATTTTGCTTCATTTTGACATTCTAAAATGTTTTGTGTGTTGGTCAATTCTAAAGGGGGAGCATGCGTTTAAACAAAGCTATAGTCAAGCTCCATATTCGTCGCATACTCGATTGCTGCAATATCATAAGAAGTTGGTAATTTAACTTTTTGTTTCATATATGCAACCAAAAAGGCTTTCCTCCTTGGCACATTATGTTACAATGGGTGACATGAGTGTTCTTCAATTACCTTCATTATTAATATGACAAATTTTTTGCTTCATTAACTTACCATAAGTTCCAAGGTAGAGATACTTAAACCAAACCAAACGTACCCTGTAACTCCCACTCGAAAGTAGGGTATGGGGAGGGTGCAGGTGAGATATATGCAGACCTGACCTCTATCTCAAAAAGTAGAGCGGCTGTTTCCCTGAGGACCCCTGACTTGTAAAAAAGTATGAACAGACAAGTAGAAGAAGAATGATTCAGTTGATCGTTATCAACTTGCTTCCTCGTCAACACATTGTCTTCTTGGGATCCCAGGTCTTGTTAAAAAAACACTTAAATCTCTTTTGTTTTTACATATGTAACGATGGGATTAATCGAATTGATTGGTGGGTTTCTTATTTTGTTCAATTTGGTGGCTTAATTGTTGATTAATTTTACCACTCTTTCTGCTCTCATATTAATCAATTTGTTGAATCTGTTGATGGGGTTTTGTTTTTGTGCAATTTGGGGACTTTGGTTTTTGAGATTACACACATACTTGGCCGTATAAAGAATTGCTCCCTATGTCTATATCAATCAATTTGTTGATTTCTTGGTAGGTTCTGTTTTGTTCAATTCTGTGGCCTAATTAAATTATATTCCAAGTATTTTGTGAATAATGAAGAGTTCCAAGACCTTCTAAATGGACAAAAGGCTTGTTATTCTTTGTCCGTAAAGACCTTCGCCTTGTAAAAAAGTGATTTCGAAGAACTCTTTGTGGGAAAACCGAATGCTTCATAAAGTTTGTCGAGAAAAGGTTAGAAGAAGATGAAAAGTGAAAAACATAATGCTTTTGAAGTGTGCACAGATTTGTACAAGGGGTTTTTTTAACTGACAACCTTCAAGCCGGAACTACAAGGGTGGTAGCATAGTGAATAAAGGTAATGGGACGATAAATGAAACGGTTGTGAACTAAAGGACAACGCAGAGTGCGACCAGTGTCTCACACATTCATGTGTTTATTTGTCATGAATAATGTATCACACGTGATAGAATGTGTATTATTTATCATGAATAGTGAATCAATTTAACATGGATCATGAATAGTGAATCAATTTAACATGGATCATGATCGTGTATTATTCATCATGACCCACATGTTTTGCCAACTAAAATTACACATCATTATTATAATCAGGTTGGGTTCACGTGAGACCAAGAGTTTTTTGTGAGATCTGTAAGACTAATTTATGATATTGTTGATATTGGGTTCACGAAAAACCCTTGATCTCACTCGAGGGTAATTGTTGCAGAATATGATATTGTCTTGCTCTCTTTAACGACTTTGATAAGCTTCCAAATTTCAAATATCTTCTTACCACGCAACGTTGTGTGGTGGTTGAAGGTGTATGCAACTATGACCACCAAGAGTGCGCATATGATCGCATAGCCAATCAAATTGAGCTATGGAAGGGATCAAAAGCACGAACAGACGTCAGAGATATCGAGTTTATTTGCAATTTTTTTTATTAACATGGATATTCAACCCGCTATGCGAGCCGACTAATCCCAGGACTACCACCTGTTTTGTAGATAGTCCGGAGTCACTGTATTTGAACCTCCGTGGCCACAAGGGGATTTTTGTTCCTCCTTAGATTTGAACCTGAGACCTCCTGATACTTTTGACCTTTGGAGCCAAGCTTAAACCATTCAGGCATCACCCTTGTGGTTTTATTCGCTTTTTTAGGTCCATTGAAACATTGAATCTCAATTTGAAAACTATTATTAATCGATTAATGTTTATAAGTTCAAAGACATAAAAACGTAGCATACAAACGAATATTTTGAGTTCATCTTAAACACTTCTTACTATCACTGTTACCACATACCACCACCATCCGTCACCATTTCATCTCGACCACCATCGAACCAAAAAGAATAACGAGTAACAAATTGTTAGACGTAAAAAAGGTAGAGAAACCAAAACCAAAAATTTCATTGAAAATCTCGTTTTTAAAATCTAAAACTACAAAAACTTTGTAATAAAATATTAAAAACTTGATAAAAATAAAACGGGTATAAATATGGACACTTATTTTAGGACGGAGGAGTACAATATTTATATTTGTTAGTCATGTAAGAAGACATTTTCTAAAACCGTGGTAAGTACCAAAACCCAAGTAGTTGCTTTTCTTACAAGGTGATATCAACATCTTCGGTCTTTTTAGTGTTATGTGATTCATATAAAATGACTCTTTAATGTAAACTGAACAAAAGTTTCCTCTTTCAAAAGATGATGTGACGCATTCACAAGAAATGCCATTATCAATCGTATAAACCAAATCTCCTCACACAAAAACAAAAATTAGACTCGAACAAGACCGATCCTATTATTTTGAATAGCGACCGGCCCGCCCCGGAACCCAGGGGCGGACCTGCTTGGTTGGTATGGGTGGCACGTGCCACCGTATTATTTAGCCACCGAAGGGTAAAAAATTTAGGTTTATTAACGGTGCTACCGTATCGTTTTGAAAGGTGCTACCGTATTTTTTCTGAATTTCAAATAGTGCAACTAAATCTAAAACCCAAACACGATAAAGTCCAAATAAATTAGATAAATAAGCCCAACAAATTGATTAATCTAATAACACTAGTTGTGTACCCGCGCAATGCGGCGGGAGCCATGTATTTTAACGATTTTGAAGTTCCACTGGTTTTATAAGATAAGATTTAACGATGATATAGGTTACACTTGGTCTTTACATATTAATACAATTTGAATAAATAAGAGTTATGATTCCAATTACAGACTATCAATGAAAAAATTGTATGACAGTTTAAAATCCAATATATTTAAAATCCAACATATTTAAACGACTCCACAAATGTATTCGATTTACACCAAGAGCAAAGAACCAAAAAACTTGAGTTTTAAGATAAACACTCAAAACCAATAAAGAAAACTACAAATTTGACAGATCATAAGCCATGAAAAAACAAAAAAAGTTGGGTTTTAGAATGAAATTTGGGTATATATTGACCGTTTTCAAAAGATGAAGACGCGTCGGGTACAAGTTTAGGAGTTGTTTATCGGTATTATAAAAACCATATTTTTTGTAATTAATTTTTAGATATATATTATATTATATTAATTATATGGTGCCACCGTATGAAAAAATTTCTAGGTCCGTTCCTGCCGGAACCGCCGGAGGACCGGTTAGGGGACCGCCGGTTACATCCGGTTATGGATTTTGTCAATTTTGTGGGGCCGAGATCGACCGGGACCGGTTAAGAACCGATCTGGCCCGGCACGAAATGTATGAATCATACCTAACCGCATAAAAAGTAAACATAACAACTTTATTTATTTATCAACTCGATTACGACAATATTTTTTTTATATTAATGTAATTTTTAATTTTTTATTCATAAAAACATAAATAAAATTGTTGAAAAATTGCAACAATAAAAAGTCGTGGTATAACACTTTAACGAAGCCAAGTTGGCACATGCGCCCGTTTGTTTGGAAGAAGCCCACATCTCTCTAATCTCTATGGACAAATAATATATTGAAATTATAATTTTAAAAATACAAATAAATTAAATTAGCGGTTAAAATCAAATGATATATTTATTTTAATGTTACAAATTCAGTTTTGGAATAATATAATAAAATACATAAATTTAATACAACATTCCAAAAATAACCACCATTTTGGAAAATCGATTCAAATAACTACTTTTCATATTCAAATTTGTTTACTAATCATTTCTCTCTCGGGTTTACTTAAATGTTATTAATTCTGTAATATTCAAGTCCGCAATATTAGCTAAAAGACAAAAAAAAAAAAATCAAATTCAACACAAATCTGTAATTATA